CCCCCCCACCCCCGGGATGAAACGCCAGTCAACTACTTAGAAAGTTTGCACATGTCTCAGTTGTAAATTAGATGACAAGATTAGTGCCACCTTGTTGGGAAAACATAACGTTCACCACGATTGATAAATAATTATAAAAAAACTTTTCTTTAGGAAATCGTAAAGACAATTGACACTACTGATTTATTTGGTGCATGTATTAAATGCTTAAGCGTTACTAAGCCAGTACTAAAAAGTTCCTAACTTAACTATGTTGCATAGTGATCGGCTCGAAATACAAAAATGTTCTAGTTATAATTAAACAAGCAATTAAGTACAACAATATTATAAAGAATTAAACAGGATAAATAGAAAGGATCTTTCATAAAACGAGTCCGAGGAGGTGCGCCCCAGCAGGTGTTAGTATGGGCAATATAGGCTCATATCTTGATATTAGGCAGATTAAGATTCCCGTTTTCTCTTCCCGCAAACGGCAAACGTTTTCATCGTTTTCATCGTTTTCATCGTTTTCATCGTTTCCCTACAATTCACTTAACCTTTTGCAAACCTTCCCGACAAAGACACATATTCTTATTTTTATCTACTACTTGAAGATCATTGCGATTCCTTTTCACTAATTTTAAAGAATTTTTTAATGGTCAACTGAAGTTTCACGTTTGCCGTAAACGAGAAGCTTAACCTCTCTATTGACTATCAACAAGTAACCTCAACTAGTATAAATCCGTTCTGTGCTACTATAGTTTATGTCGTATCGGGGCTTGCTTGCTATGCTTGACGTTAATTTGACCAATTTATTTAATTATATACAAAGCTTAAGTAGAACGTTATTGATTTGGACCGTTTTGTGAATAGCAATAACACTCAACTGTTGCTAATAAATGCTCATTGGACATTTATTTTATTCATTTACTAATTTGTACTAGTTTTATCTTGCAATCCTACCCGTATTAGCGAAAAAATTCTTTGGGTTGTCTTTCGTTGCCTAGCATCACAAGCGAATGCCATTCTTGCGCAGTTTTTTTTGCCCTTTTTTTTAAGTTCGACAAGTTTAATTTCCCCCTCTAAAGTCTATTTGTTAAAAAGCTCTTAAACCGCATTTACAATCTCTATATTACCGTTGCTTTCGAGGTATTTTTCAGCGCAAATGAAAATACCCCAATTGAGATTTGCGCTATACGAATTCAAAAAATCATTATTATTATTGTTATTATTATTTTACTGGGTTTGGTCTTCATTTTTCATCTTTCCGCAAAATTCTTTTTTTCTTCATTTTTCATCTTTCCGATATATTTCAATTCTATATTGTATGGGTTAGCCATACTTTGACTCAAACCAGCCTGTTAGAGGGATGGATAATGGTTTTAGTATTTTTAACACAAGTGAATTTAATAAATATTGGCACAAAACGACAAACAAGCGTGCAATTGCGCGCAGCATAAGACGTAAATTGCGTTCATGTGCGCGCCGGATTTGTTATATTCACTTTTGTAAAAATACTAAAAAAAATTCTGGAAAAGGAAGGAAAAAAATAAAAGAAAGAAAGAGGAAGACGAAGAAGAAGAAATGCGATGATAATAAGTTCAGCTGTTTAAACAAATCAATTAGCATCAAGCAGTAACTAAATGATAGATTTTCACCTTTTCACACGACCGCTCAAGATAGAACTTAGAAGGAGATCGAAATATAGAATTAAACAACTAAGCAGTACTTTAATATGAAGTATCTATTTTTATTATAACAGAATAATAAGAATAACTATGCGATAGTTTTCTTTCTTTTTTCCCCCAGTACCAGTTTGCTTATCCGGGGAATCTCAGCCCAATTCAAAAATATCAATTACGTAAGAAGAAATTGGGAAAAAGGATAAATAAAAAAATGATAAATAATATTAAATACAGTGCGTCGAAGTCTTATTGTATAAGGAAACTAACATTTATAGCAAATAAAAGAAAATATTTCTCCGGGCCAAGAAATATTCATTAAGGTATTATTTTAGCCACCCATACAACGGGAATGTTTGAAAAGATTCACTTAATACTACTATAAGTTAAAAATATTTTTTAAGTCGAATAGAAAAACCAAAAAAAAAAAAAAAGAAAAAGATCATAAGGTTGAGTATATATAAAAATGAATATAGGTCACCCATNGCTGAGTATGGTGTATAGCCTCCATCGACTGCAGAAGACATTACAAAATGATGAATTATCTCTCAAATTGATTTTGATACTAATAACTTTGAGAGAGTGGTACTTTTTGATTTTTCTCATTTTACCGTGGTTTGCACGGATTTTAGAACCTTTTCCAATACCTGGACATGGCTTGGCAGCTTTGCAGGGCTTTGTCTCAGTTGATGTTTTGAGTTTGACGTTGTACGATGGACATCCTGGGCGACTGTCTTTGGAAAGGATGAGTTTGTATTGGACTCCATCGCCACACTCTTTAGCGGTACAACCAGTCCACTCTGAAGCAAAAATAAAAAAAGAGAAGGCTGGTTAGGGTTAAATTACATTCCCAAGGAAAATGTGATTTTCCCAGTTATTCGCATACAATAACAACAACAATGATAACAAGTCATTTTACTTTCTTTGAGATGGTACATGAAGTTAGACCAGTGGGTTCCAATGCCATATTCGCCTTGAACTTTACAGTTGTCCTTGCAGCCATGCTTGTCGTACGTCGCATAAGCATCTTTGGATCCCCAGCATTCTTTAAAGTACTGGACACCAAAGTAATCATAACCAAGCCTCTCGGCTTCTTTGCTGCATTCTTCAAAGATGTGTTTATAGTCACTGGATACCACAGTTTTGAAGAAGTGAGGCATTGCTCGATTCCTGCTATCTGCGTAGCAACCAAGCAGCTCCCACTCTGAAATAAAAAAAGTCGGCATTTCTTACACCGAGCTCCATATTTTGTCTAGGCAGTTTTTCACCACTATAGGGCGTCAGAATGAAATTCGGTCTATTGAGCAGCTCTGCCTTATCAAGAAATAAAAAAYCGCTTGCGATTTAATTCAAAACTAAATTCTCCCCTCACAGCCTCAATTACTCACYCCTAGCTTGAGCGCCGTGTGTCGCCACGAAGGCGATCATTATAACCCAGATCAATCGTGCTGCCATTTTAGAAACTTGCGTTTCTATAGCCTGTTATTTAAATAAGGCWAAGAAAAAATAAGTATGTCGACACTAGCCTCCTATGACCAGAGTTTTCCGTAGTTTGTTGGCACTCGAAAATATAAGTAGCAGTCATAGTTTTGAGTGCGAGATCCTCTGGAAAACACCTGGGAATTCTAAGGATACACGTGGAATTTAGGACATAGATCAGGAATCACCTGTTTGTGCTGGGAAAAGTTGCCTGAGAGTTGAGTTTGTTTTGGGTTTTCTCCTGTGTCTTTGGTTTCCCTCCCTCAACATGTAAGTTGAGTGTTGTGGGTTGCAAACCTCTCGGAACAGCCATGGATTAACTGGTTTGGGCTGGTACTTCTATCTTTGAGTTTCCTTAGATATCCTTGGTATCCCTAGCTATCCCAAGCTATCCATGCATCCACCCCAGGGAAACGTTTAACTGAAGACAGCTCACGTTATAACAGACTATGGACCCTATGCAAGGCTAACATGAAAGTACGCAAGAAATCACCCTTTTTCCGATGGAATTTGTGAGWTTTCTTTAATTGGTATTTCCATGTTAGCCTCACATTCAAAAGAAGGGTCCATTGTGCATGCGCACTCATTAAAAAAAAAACTTCTGCTTTTTAACTCTCGACAAAGCCGCCCTTTCTGAATGAAGGTTAAGCAATGTCATTAACATTCTCAAGCTATTTTTTAAAAATCATCACGATGCAAAGCATTCAACAGCTAGTCACGCGTCAGAAACGTCTTGATAACGGTTTTCTTTGATATTCGTCCATGATATCGAATCCCGTGTCTTTAATAACACTAGATAACACTAGATTCAAATGCGATTAACCCACTTCCGACAGCAATAGTGGTGGTCATGGGTCTGTCTCTTATTGGCAAAAGTTGGTTCGACTACATCATTTGCAACAGGTGCCATCCTCGCAGATAACAATATTGACTAAAGGTCCAAAGTAACTGTTCAGAAATCCGAATCCATGAAAACTACTCTATTGTTTTGGTGATGTTTCGAAGTTTCTCAAAAGACGAGAAAAGGCGTGCAAAGGAAACAGGCTTAAAATATGAGATRGAAGCCGGGGTCAAAACGCCCGTTATAAGGAATTTAATAGCACGTATCATGTTATAAAAAAATTACTGGCGTAAATCTTCTAAAACGATAACTGTCGAAAGCAAAATATTTAAAAAAAATTACATACATGTTTTTAAAATAGTTTTTGGATAGCTTGCGGATGGTCTGTCCTTTTTCGATTCCGGTATTGAATGGATGGACCCGCTCAGATTTCCYTGGAAATTTGTACCTACGTCATAAAGGACCCATGCTGGGAAAATGCGTGCTCGAGAAACTCTTGTAAAAACTGTGGCCAGTAGCCAGCCGAACGGTACACAGTACAGACAGTACGCTCACGTGCCTAGACAACCCACCAAAAATATCTTCCGGCGAGCTCCCGGCCTAGTGGATGTTGAAGCACGAAACACAAAACCCAGAGGKCAAACGTGACACCAGAAAAATAATGAGCTGTCTCATTTGGCTTACCCAAATCCAGCTGAGCGACATTTCGATCCGATTCTTCATCTGATTGTTTTCTGATAAGCTAGGTTTAGGGAAAAGTCTCTTTCCTACAAGTTAGATAATACGCAGAATTTATCTAAGGTTGTAGTTCAGCAGCTTCAGTCCACATTGTTATGGAGAGGTTGTTATTGATTTTGGGACTCTTGGTTGCGTCACGTTGTCTCATCGTTCGATCTGTTGGTGAGTAGGACGTCTTGTTACAACGTCAAACATTTGAGTCCATCTTCAAGTTTGCTATTGATATTCCCCAATGTCTTGCAAAGTATAGAACGCGGTTTCCACGATATTTTCAGCAAAGACAAGTGACCTAGATTGGGACATAGTCATATAATAACAATAGTTAAACCCAAACCAATACCCATGAACTAACCCTAGGACATCTAAATCTAATAATRATTAATGCTTCCATGTACAAAGGACAATGGATACCTATTACCCATTTCCGTTATCTTAGTTGGTTTTTTTAGTTCGCAATAAAAGCGGTACATTGATTGACCTTACTGTGTAACCAATCTGATAGAAGCTATACATTTTAATAGTTATTTAGAGAAGTTCATATTTATAATCGAGATACTGTGTCTGGTTTATTTTTGTAAGCGCTCTCATGAAAGGTGGTTGAGTTCAAGACAGAGAAGGTTTATTACAGCCCTCTGGTTTTTCCTCCCTTCTCTCAAATCAACCCTAACTACTTCAAACTGGCTAAAGCTGTGCTCTGGGTCGCCCCATGTAAGGGAATCCGGACTTACGGATTCCGAGACTCTGGATTACGGATTCCAAAACTTTTGTATTGCGGATTCCGGATTTCATATCGTTAATTTGCATCTGATGACAGATATTCTTGGTGGAGATATTACATAGTGGGGGAGGGGCTACATCGGTTCAATCTAGGTCGAGGCGATAGCATTTGAGTGTAGACTTTGAATTTCAAAGTGCAGATTCCGGATTCCAAAAGGGTGGATTCCGGATTCCATTATTAACTGGATTTCGGATTCCAAAGCCTAAAATTTCGTGGATTCCGGATTCCGGATTCCCGGGTCATACACGGACTGTATAGCGGCTGCCAGAGGCGCATTCACATGCTTTCAGTTCAACATCGTTGAGCTGCGCCACTGCTGTACTTGCGATGATGATTAGCGATAACAGGTTTTTTTAAATGCAATGCTCTAAGCATCTCTCTGTGCTCGAATGAGTCCAAGGCATTAAATATTGCTTCTAGGACTTTTGAAAATTTTGTTGATTGACAAACAATCAAACGAACAAAGGTGAAATAAAGGCCTAGGTACAAAACGAACAAAACTAATTTATTTTACGTTAATTGCTCTGTTTTCCTAGCCCGAGGCTCTTCCATATAACTTTGACATCGGAACAAATCGAAATCGAAATTTTGAGTTGTTTTTTTTTTGCGGAGGGAAGAAAACCGGAGAATCCGGAGTAAAAAACCACAACTCTACCAACGTATAATGGTGGGTCCACCGCGGTGAAAGACGATGCAATGGCAGCGCACATCACCGTTGTTGCTCGAACTAACATGATCGAATACCTTGTTTTAGAATGGGAATCCTTGGGATGCTACAAAGACAAGCCTGCACCAAACCGCGCAATGCCAGATTTCTTTGGCCWCGTCCAACTCGAAGCTAACAGCACTGATTACAAACACGTGTTTGAGCAATGCAACGTTAAAGCCGAACAAAAAGGGTACACMTACTTTGGTATACAGTATATGAAGGAGTGCTGGGGATCAACAAACGCCAGACTAACCTATAATAGACATGGGTGCAACAATAACTGTCAAGATGACGTAAATGGTTATGGCGGCGGTGGTGATTGGTCAAATTTCATTTATCGTGTCAAAGAAGGTATGTATATGTCAGGGTAGGGGTGCAGGGGTTTTGGACGATAACTTCCTAACTTTCCGTCCTTCMTTTTGTCCCRATAGACCTCTTTACCTTGGTATGCAAATTACCATTTCAGACCGAGTGACATTCTCCTGAGAATTRTTCTTTTATGACGAACATGTTAAAATATTTACACATGAAAGAATCAACTCCCAAGAGTGGCATCRCATGGTCTGAAATGGGAAAACAAACGACGAAGGTAAAGAAGTCTATACTGATGTCATGAATGCGCCGTGCAGTAGAGGCTTGCGAGCAAGGGGTATGGTGTATTCTTTCTACACTGTCCATCTTTCCTATCGTACCAAAACTCCGATCAAACCCACTTCCCATAGTTGTTGAGTTGTTGTCATGAATGCGCCGTGCGGTATGGGCTTCCTGCGGGCATGGGGCATGGTGTATACTTTCTACACTGTCCATCCTTCCTAATGTACCAATACTCAGATATCGAAACCTCCTTCTATATGTATGCAGGTTACTAGGGTTGATTTCGTGCGAATGCTCCTTGCGGTAAATTCAATGTCTCTGTCATGAGGTGCAAAGGGGATTAAATTTGACAAAAACCTCACTCAGTCGAAGTACATTTTGATTGGACGAACAGTGACCTTGCGCGTTGTAATTAGTTGACGGGCATCGTCAAGTGTGTACCGTAATCGTGTCTTTTAAAGTGTGATAATATTTTTTTTACATAGTTTTTAGTACTAAGTCAAATCTTGGTAATTTAATAGCCTATCACCAAGGGACTAGCTAGGAACTTGCCGTGATGCATACGATATCAATCAAGGAGCATATTTTTGCTTTGCGTCAGGTTCACGATACACGATACTTACCAGAGTGCACTCTTGATCCGTCCTYGCTAATTCACATCTCTTTCTGTCAAGGGTTGGTAATCTACACCTCAAAAAACTTGGCCTTAATATATTGACTATAAAAGCACTATGACTTAATTTTCYCTTCATTTGTCTTTTTATGCCGTTAAGTTTAATCGGCTGTTAACTAGACCTCTCAGAAAGGTGTTTTGACTTTCCTCCATCAAAATTGTTTTACAACGGRATCGACGGCTACACCCCAGGCCTAGGGCCAGGTTGTACGAAGCCTGGATAGCGCTATCCGGCGAATAATATAATTGCTTATCCAGTGGATAAGTCGATGTTGTTATCCAGTAAGTTTATCCATTGGACAAGATTTATCCGGCGGATAGCGCTACCCAGAACTCAGACGCCAATAATTGACTATTGTCAAGACATATATCATTGACACATACAAAAGCTCTAAGAATGTATGTTGATTCGTTAGAATGGACAGAATGCATCGTAAAAGAATGTGTCCAGTATAACATCGTGTTGGTTCCTGAGGTTGGCCCATTGTGTCCTCCCACAAATCGTTTAGTGTCGACAGGCAATATCACAAGACCTTGTCCCGATCCCAGTCAATGCTCTGGTAAGTGTTGGAACTGAAGGACTATTGTTTCTTTGGAGGGAGGGGGAGGGGGGAGGGGAGGGTGTGGATGTAAAGAGTATAAAATGTTAGACATTAACAAGTGTCGAATGTATTCAAACCTTTTTATTGATGTAAAAGTTATATGTATCCAATTTGGCTTCAATTTTGAGAGTGTATAACTATTATGTTCATGGAATATTGGAAATGAATAACGACAGAACAGCAGGAAAGTGACCACGATTTCAGAGAGAGTTACCTCCCAATTCTCCAGAGAGTTTTCCGATTCTTCCATTACTCAGTTCAATAGTCCCCTTCACAGTTCCCTGCGCCATCTTAAAAGGTAGCCGTGCCTTTGAATCGAAGCGAGACGAACGGTGAGCTTGCAATGATAGAGACCTTTTTTTAACACCTTGAACAATTATTCACATCACATCTCTATCATTGCAAGGTCACCGTTCGTCTCGCTTCGATTCAAAGGCACGGCTACCTTTTAGATGGCGCAGGGAACTGTGAAGGGGACTATAGAGGATTTCTAAATTATTAATATTATTTCAGTTCAAGAGTAAATCAAAAGCATGATTATTTTTGCATTGCAGTGAATGGCAACTGGACGGAATTCAGTGACTGGTCTGAGTGCAGTAAATCATGTGGTGGTGGTGTCCAGATACRAACACGTAACTGTACCAATCCTGCACCTGCTAATGCCGGTGATGACTGTGTTGGTCCTGCTAACGAGACTCGAGCGTGTAATGAACAGGAATGCCAGCTCAAGCCTGGTATGTCGCGACATAGACCCTTCGTACTAAATCCCAACCTGGGGGTCAAAGCAATGAAAGCTATTAACATACAAAAATATTACAAGAAAGGGATTTATTTTGTTTGACTCCCAGATTGAGAATTAGTATAAGGGGTTTATACACCTACGTTCAAAAACGCTGTCGGTCCGAGATGTGAAATCTGAGAGCGAGTCGCACGCTGGAAATTGTAATAAATTCACAATCGATCAACGTAGTTTTCTTTTAGATTGGAATATGAAGCATGACCTTTGAGTTGGAAACGTGATTTTTCGTATTTTATYCATAAAGCATTAAAGTACAGATCTCCGTCCGTCAACGTTTTTTTGAAATAGGTGTTGTATAGACAAGAAGTTGTATGCATAAATGTGACTAATGGTAAAGTGACGTGATGGTAAGACTGGGATGATTCAACT